TGTACATATTTGGACTGGAAACAAGACAGAAACACTGAGTAATAAAGCATGTTTTGCAGTAAACAGAGTTGCTCTCGGGGTCTGAACCTTCTGAGACTGTCCAAATCTTGTCCATCTTCTGAGGTTCGTCTTCAGCTCGTGAGCCGGATCAGAATGTGTGTGTGTGTGTGACTCTCACCAGCACGATCTGTTTGACGGGGCTGAAGTCGGACACGGCCGCTCTGCTCTTCATGTCTTGCACGATGTCTTCCTTTCTCAGGAGCTTGTAAGGATTGTCTCCGGTCACATCCTCATCTGCCCGGCAACCGAACATCTCCTGAGTGACGGAGGTCAGCACCAGCGGGAAGATGTGATCGGGGTGAGCTGTGGGGGAACGAGTCACTGAGATCAGGGTGATTATAGGAATAACACTGAACACAGTTATGAAACTGAATTTTTGTTGAAAGTTGTATTTGAAAAATTGTCTGTATTATATGTCAGTCAAGGTAAACTAAAAACTTAAAGGGATAGTTCACCCAAACACGTAAACTCTGTCAGTAATGACTCTCTCTCATGTCGTTCAACCCCGTAAGACTTTCGTTCATCTTCGTAACATGAATGAAGATATTTGTGATTAAATCTGAGCGCTGGATCACTCCTCCATAGGCTTCTATTGTAATTGAAACTTGCCGGCCCAGAAAGTTATTAAAAACATCCCATTCACATTCCCGTCACAGTAGTGTATAGGAAAGGAAGGGAAATTGGATTTTGGGAACAAAAGCCGAGGGAAAGCAGGTCTGGCTACGTGCTTGCGTGTGTGTGTGTGTGTGTGTATCTTTAATCTGATCACAGACACCGGCTGAATGGAAAGGAACGAGTGGATACATGCTGGAAACAGATCTGAGAATATGATTATGACTGTTTTTGGTGCAAGACTTTGAAAACAGAGGTCTGAATATAATGTGAACGCTATAAGAGTGATACGAGACACTTGCCAGACTCTGGTGCACCTTCATCTGGGGTTTCTTTATTTTTATCTGCGAAGAATAAAAAAGTAACACATTAGAAACCAAAAGATGCTTTGGAGAGTGAATCATTATTTTGATTATTGCTATAAACAATGACAACAGAGCTGCATCAGTCTCATGAGAGAAATATTAATCATAAGAAGAAATTGTTCATTTGTACCTTTCTGCTTGATCGCTCGGCTCTTGGGTCTCTTCGGAGGCATGTCTACCAGTGACTTTGTCAGATTTCAGTGGGATATTATGGGATATAAGCTGTAAAACAGAGTAGAATAACATGTAAATGTACAGTACATGAAGTACACACATCTGTTTTTTTAAGTGGTATTTCTGAGATCATAACTGGACATGAAAATAATCCCGTTTAAATTGAATTGGATTCTGTTTCATACTGCATTTTAGGGGGAAAAAAACATCCAACATAGTATACATCGTATTCAGTGTGCAGTAAGCAGTACACTTGTCCAACTGAGGAAAACACACGGGCGACATCTGGTGGTGAAACATAATTAAACAAACAGTGTCATTTTAAGCAGACATCGCATCCTTTTTCGTTTACTATATAGATGCAGCCTAGTCTTTTAAAATGTGTAAAAATACTATAAAATGAAATTCATTAAACACATAGACTTACCTGATTTAAATGTGACTTAAAGGGATAGTTCACCCAAAAATGAAAAACGGCACCCATTGAGTTCCACAGTCCTAGTATTTATGTCCTAGTATGGAGGTCAATGGGGTCCATTAACTGTCTGGTTACCAACATTCTTCAAAATATCTTCTTTTGTGTTCAACTGAAGACACTCTCACAGGTTTGGAACAACATGAGGGTGAGTACACACACAATTAGCATTTTTGGGTGAACTGTCCCTTTAAATAAAATTCCTAATCTCAAACCTGCACTGTTATTAGGGGTGTAGAATTTAGTAGGGACGCTAGGGACGTGTCCCTACCAATATCCAGCGACACTGATATATTCCTAGCAATAATTTCAATCAAAACTTAAAATATATTTAGCCTATATATTCTATTGTCCCCACCAATTTCAAAATCAAACCTACACCACTGCAGTATACATATACCATTATATATACAATTTGTGAATTTAAACGTAGCATAAACAGATAAAAGCCCAAAATTGGTAAATACAATATCACTCGTAACGTTACACACGCGTGCGATATTTTAAACTGTTGTCCTTTAACAGCGTCATTACGATTTACCACATGCAATGTTTTTTAATATATAAATAATCTTACTATGATTCTTAAACCTTACCTCTTAATAATAATAATAATAATAATTATAATAAAACGTTATAGTGTCACTTTAAAGGATAAAAACATTATTCCGAGTGAACAGCGTGAACTGTGTCCAAGCATCCGGAATCACAGACGGTTACTATTGGTTACAGAGGCGGAGACTCGTGTGATTGACAAACCGCACAGCCAATCGTCGCGTCGTTTAGTGGTAGCCCCGCCCCCTTCACCTGTTGACTGTCAGCACTGAGCACGTCTGAAACACAGCGCTGTTCATCATTTCACTGGAAATTCACTTTAATCCGAATTGTTTTCAGATTTTCATCGACTTTATGGAAGTTATCTTTGTATAAAGACATAAATGTGCTCATCTCTCGCCGCTGGAGAACTAACTGATGCCATTTCCATCTGCTGTAATTGGTGAGTTTCTGATGAAATCATATTTTACTGAGCTATTCTGCTTAACATACTGTGAAAAGTTTCATTTGAGTTGATTTTTACATGTAAAACTGTGATTTACAGACTTTTGCTCCGTTTTAAACTGCGATAAAACACATCAGATCCTTATGGAAGCCAATTCCAAATCAATTATGACATAAAAAGACGAAATTATACTAACACTTAAGTTAATGTGCCATAGTATTCACTTATTATGTCATATTAATGACATAATTTTAATTGTGGCATAATTTTGACTTTTTATATCATAATTGTGACTTAATATGTCAACCGTGATATGCTGGCATCACATGGTGTTGTTGTAGTTCCTAATGGCACAGGTGTGATGACGTCACATGACGAGTGTCAACTCATGAATATTTGGTTCATGTTGTTATATATGGCATTATGTCTGTTTTTACATGTTACAAAAAAACTCTCATAAAGTAAGAAATATCAACTCCAGGAAGCAAACAGTCATTCATGCTGGAAACCATGTAACATGACGAGTGTCACGTGACTCCGCCAGGAATGTGGATCAATTAATCAGAAACTGGATTCAGTCCATCAGTGTTTGAGAAGTGGAAGAGCCACATTACGGCACGTCTACACTATATATATATATATATATATATATATATATATAGCGTATTATTTTTTTAATTATTGAACAATAGCACCAAAAACTGGTTATTAAAAGGTAGGCCTACTATTTTATATCTAACCAACTATAATATACATTTTGTGTCACACATTCCTTTCTTGAGTGTAATTGGTAATATGACCTATAAAAGCACATTAAATACAAAAGCTGCTGTAAATAATGCACAAAGTATCATCATAATAATAACACTATAAATGATCGGCTAGAATACATACAAGCAAAGTGAAGAAATAGACTTATTATTAGAAATATTTTTAATTGTCCTGTTTTATCCTATCCATAGTTCATCCTGAATCCGATCTTGGATGCTAAGCGTACGAACAACTTGGCATTTTATCTTATGTCCTTTAGGTAAGGAAAACAAAGCAATGTGAATGCTGTTCTCAATGCAGAGGATTGCTCTGTTTTTTCAGACATGAACGACTCCGGTGAGGCTTATCTGTGCATTAATGATCCCAACGGAAACTGGTCTGGATCCCATACTGTCCTGGAGGAGGAGGAGGATGAGGAGGAGGAGAAGTTCAGGAGGAAGCTGAAGTATTTCTTCATGAACCCCTGTGATAAATACACCGCTCGTGGAAGAAAGCCCTGGAAACTGCTCCTGCAGATCCTGAAGATCGCGGTGGTCACCACACAGGTACACTCGCAAAAATGCAGGATTGTTTTAATAAAATTTGGGTCCAATATGGACAAACCCAGCCGTTGGGTTACATTTTAACCCAACTGTTGTTTGTCCATATTTGACCCAAATTTGGGTTAAAACAACCCTGCATTTTTTTTTTGTGTGTAAAAAGAGTCACAGTCAGAAATGATGGTTTAAGCAGAATAAAAAAGCTTTAGATGGCTGCTTGCTTTCTCGTGTGTGTGTGTGTGTGTGTGTGTGTGTAGCTGGTGTCGTTTGGTCTCAGTAATCAGATGGTGGTTCAGTTTAAGGAGGAGAATCTGATGACGTTCAAACATCTGTTCCTGAAGAACTTCAGCAGGAGCAGCGCGAACACGTACGCCGTTTACACCAAACACGACGTCTACACACACATCGCTTACACCGTGCAGCAGGTGAGAACATATTCATGGTTATATTTAGAAGTTGCCAAAAGAAAAAGATACAAAAACGTGTTTTAAATTGCATGCCATATATAAATATTTTTTAATAGTTGCCAAGAGATGCAAAAATGTATTTTAAATTGCATGGATATAAATATAAATAATTACAGGATATACATATTTCTACTTAAATGTTGCCGAAAATAATGTATTTTAAATTGCATGCCATATATTGTATACATATTAATATTTAAAAGTGCACAAACCAACCAAAAAATGTTTAAAATTACATGACATATGTAAATATTTATATTTAAATGTTGCCAAAAGATGGAAAATAATGTATTTTAAATTGCATGTCATACAGTATATAAATATTTATATTTAGAAGTTGCAAAATAAGCAAAAACGTATTTTAAATTGCATGCCATATATAAATATTTTTTTTAGAGTTGCGAAAAGATGCAAAAGACAGATTATAAATTGCATGCCATATAGTATCTTAATAGTTATATTTTAAAGTGCATTTAAAAAGAGTAGATTAAATTGCACAAATGTATTTTAAATTGGAATACATGTAAATATTAATATTTAAAAGTTTACAAAACATGCTAAATGAATTTTAAATGGCATGCGATTTATATAAATATTTTTTTAAATGTATTCAAATTATGGAAAAAAATATCTAAGTGCTTGCCATACAGATATAAATATTTATAAAAGATACCAAAAAAATTGCACCGGCATATTTTACATTTCATGCCATATATAAAGATTTTTTTTTTTTTTTTACCTTTGCCAAAAGATGCAAAAATGGATTTTAAATTGTATGCCATACATTATATAAATATCTACTGTATATTTTAAAGTGCACATAAGATTAGATTTAATTACACAAGTGTTTTTTAAAATTCATTCAATATATGTATATATGTATAATTATTTGTGTGTGTAGATCCTTGATGTCAAGCTTAAACAAATGCACCTTTCAGACTGGCCTTTCAAAGTTCAAAGTTCAATCATAAAAGGTAAAATTTTCCCTCCTTGCAGTTTCTAACGTTGCCAAGCATAACTTTGGGCAATCATGAATATGAGAAGAAAGGTGAGGTTTACACTCCTCTCCGCGTCTGCCAGCAGTTCTACCACAACGGCAGCCTCTCACCAGCCGACGAGAGCTTTCACATCGACACTCATGTGGATGAAGGTGTGTGTGTGTGTGTGTGTGTCGTGACGTGAACGTGCTCAGAAACGCCTTTACTTCTCATATACATAACCAGTCGTGCACTTCTGCTGGTTTCTTCCAGAGTGTTTGCTGATTTACCCGCCGCATCCCTCCTCAGCCGTCACAGCAAACACACTCAACTTCACTCTGCACTTCGAGAGGTATCGCCGCCGCAATAGGAGAACGCAGGGTTGTTGTTATATACTAAACAAAACTAAATACATTTTCAGCATTTTAAATAAAATACAATAAAATTTATTTAGCTAGCTGCCAAGTTTTTTTTTGTTTAAAATAACTTAAACTTAATAAAAACTATTAAATATCAAAATATTAACTATAATAGTATATCAATGATAGTAAAAATTGCCTCTATAGAAAAGATGTTGTATGATGCAGGGTTATCATTAACTAAAACTAAACCACACGCACAATATTTTTTTTATTTAAATTGAAATAAAATACAATCAACTTCTTTTATCTAAGCAAGCTGCCAATGCAACATCTCTATTTTTTGTTTAAAATAACTAAAATTTAATAAAAACTATTAAAATATTTAGAAACTATAGTAGTAAATCGGTGATACTTTATATGTGATTTTGTAGTACTAGATTATTGTATGTTTAGTTTATTGTTTTAATGTTTCTTTATGTTTGTATGTTATTTATGCATTTAATTTTTACCTTTACATTGTATCCTTTACTAAATTTGATATATAAAATAGTTTATTATTATACTAAAAAAAGAATATTTCTGCAAATATTACACATACTTTCGTACAGATCTTTAGGAAAAGCTCAACTGTAGTGTGTTGAATCGGTTTGTGTGTTTGTCTGTCAGGTTGTTGGCAGTGACTGTAAAATTCACTCTGAAATCCATTAACCTGGAGACGGTTCAGTATCACGATGTTCCAGACTGTTACCTCTTCAACATTATGGTATGTCACATGACCTTTCGGTTATTATTACTTTATTGCTCATCTTTGACATTCGTCTCTGTTTCCTCTTACATTCATAAACTCATGAGTGAGATAAAATGGGAAGGATTCTCAGCTGGGATTTTTGCAGGTTTTTCCTTTATTGAACACATGACCATCACCCTCCTCTTGCTCTGTCTTCCACCAGGATTCATTTTATAAAGCACATAATCATATTTGGCCCTATTTATAATACCCTGAGATTCTGATTGGTGTGTGTCATCAGTTTTTCTACTTAAAGGAGTAGTTCACTTTAAAAAAAAAAACTTTTGCTGATAATTTACTCACCCCCATGTCATCCAAGATGTCCATGTCTTTCTTTCTTCAGTCGAAAAGAAATTAAGGTTTTTGATGAAAACATTCCAGGATTTTCTCCATATAATGGACTTTAATGGGAACCAAACGGTTCAAGGTCCAAAAAACAGTTTCAGTGCAAACTGTTCAAAGGGCTTTAAACGACACCAGACGATGAATAAGGGTCTTATCAAGTGGAAATGATTTTTATTTATTTAAAAAATAAATGAAAATGTTTAAGTTTTATAATAAGCACAAATGTTCGCCTTGCTTGACTCCTTTTTGTTCGTTGTGTCATTTGTTGAATGAATGAAATGACTTGAAAAAAGAATTTGTTCATTGTGATGAACGAGTTCAAACAGGAGAGTCACGAACGCGCATCACAGAACAGAGCAAGGCGAGCATTTGAGCTTATAAAACCTACATTTTTTAATTTATTTTTTTAAATAAACCGATTGTTTCGCTTGATAAGACCCGTATTCGTCGTCTGGTGTCGTTTAAAGCCCTTTGAACAGTTTGCACTGAAACTGTCTTTTGGACCTTGAACCGTTTGGTTCCCATTGAAGTCCATTATATAGAGAAAATCCTGGAATGTTTTCATCAAAAACCTTAATTAAATTTTTTTTTTTAATGGTGAACTAATCCTTAAATGTTCACACATGGATAAATGTGTGACAGTGTGACACTTGATTTAATTATATTATGTGTTTGTGTTATCTGAAGAACAAGAACCTGTACAAAATGTGGACATTTTTGTGTAGTTGAGTTTAGAAAAACAAAAATTGGAACGCGTGTAAAAACGGGAAAAGCATGTCTTTGTGAACTGAATTGGGAAATTGGGCCAACGACACCAGTGATAGTGTGTTAGCAATCGCGAAAAACAGTAATAGTTCACAATATTGTGTTTTTTTTACTGTATTTTTTTTATCGAATGCAGCTTTGTTGAGCGTAAGAAAGACTTGTTTTAAAAACTTAAATTCTTAATGATTCCGAACGTTTGAATGCTAGTGTAAATGAAAATAAAGAGCTATAAACGTCTTAATTTTATTTTTATGAGCAGATCACCTTTGACAACACGCCCCACAGTGGGAGGATCGGGATTGACCTGGACAGCGATGTGCAAAACTATCAATGCAGAGACAGGACTGTGACTGGTGCATGTGAGTCTTCCCATGATCCTCCACTGTTTACAAATCCCTTTTTTTCTTGCTTTCTTTTTTACAATGATTCCTTTCTGTTGTGCAAAACACTTAAACTAATTTATTAAAAGTAAAAAGTAGTGTTGTCATTTAAGAAAGTATTGAAATGAAATGTAAAGCAGACTTGGAGAAAATTTGATTTGTACTTCAGCTTTAATAATCACTTGATTGTTTTGACACAGTAATAAAAATATTAACCAGATGGAAAAAGTTAATGCTTGGAGTGAACGTTAATTTTTCATGAAAACTCTGTCATCTTTAAGACACCACATATGAATAGATTGAATATTAAAAAAGATGAGACATCATCATGCTTCTCCACTTGTTTGATTATTACATGAAGATTTTCAAACTCTTTTGTATTACAAGTTTTAATTTCTACATGTGCAAATGATGCATTAACCAGTGAAATATGCGCTAAATACATACATTTCCAGAACATCTATCTGAACATTGGATAAAGCCAGGCTCAAAATTAGTGTTTGATTTTGTTGACATATTAGAGTTAAATGATTTTACTGAGGGGATTTAGGATATCTTATTTAATCATTCCATAAATCCGAAAATACTGTCGACAAACAAAAAAAAAAGAAATATTTTCGTCATATTTTAGGAATAAAACGTTACAAAAACTACTGTGAGTGATATATGAACAAACCCCTCAGTAAAATCCTTCAGAATATAGACAGGAATAAATCTCTAAGTTTTGGTGTTTATAACTGGTGCAGAAGTGGAGGAAAAACTCTTTAAAGATATGTAGCGTAATCTAAATCTACTATGCAAGTAGAAAAAGTGCATTAAACTAAACACTTAAATGTGTAGTTTGGATATTTTCTTTCACAGTTATGATAAGTGTGTATGCTCTTCAGACTGATTTTAATGAATGTGTTTTGTCTGTAGCCCTGAGGGACATGTACATTATGGTTGTGTTTGACGTGACGGTCATTGTGATTCTCCTGCTGTCGCTGCTCCTCTGCGTGCGCTCGCTGAAAGCTGGAGTCCTGCTGCAGATCGTGAGTTTCTGCAATTATTCATCGAGTTACCATGAAACACAAAGAGCATGTCTGAATGTCTGAGCTGCTGTTTTCTATACATTAAAAGTGGAAGGCAATTTATAAGGTCAAGCTCTACAAAAGGACAAAAACCTGCCATAAAGTGTCATAAAAGATTATATTCCTAGTCATGCTATGTAACTTTGAATGTATGGCACAATGAATTTGAATTGCATATAAAATACAGTTTTACAAAAATAGATGATAAATGGGATGTGTATTTGTCAAATATGAATGATTTGTGAAATGGCACTAATAAACTGAAAGTGTCTTAAATCCACTAAAAGCAGTGTATTTATCACTAAATACTTATTTCAATCTCATGCATTTTAACTACTTAACTTTCATAATTATGAGATAACTATTTGAAATTATGACTTAAAAAGTTTTAATGGTCATTAAAAAGTAAAATTATGTCTAAATTAAGAAATAAAATTCTAAATAAATGTATAATCAAGTTTTAATGACATTAAATGTTGCTAAATTAAAATGGCTAAATAAAATTTAAAATTGACATTCTACTTAAGACAGAAAATGTTGCTAATGACATACTAGGTTAAAATTACGAAATAAAATTTGAAATTCATAAAATTTTCTCAATGACTAGATTCATGCTGATTCTTAGCCATTTGAAAATAGGGTTTAAATAGAATCAAATATATGTAAATATTCAACTTTGGCAAGATTTGTTTGAGTGTCGAAATGGTACCGGTTTCATTTATAAAAAATGCATCACATAAAGTTTCTTTATTTTAAAACTCCAAGTGAATGGAATTATTATATGCAATATGTAGGTCTTAATATTTTTTTGAGGCCATGGAAAACTTTTATGATCATTTTATTTGTAGAGCATCAAAATTCAGACAGTAATGAAATGTTCATCTGTTTATTAGGAATACACAGCGTTCTTCTCCAGTCGTTACGGCAAACGCGTGTCCTTCTCCGACCGTATGGAGTTCATTAACGGCTGGTTTATCCTCATCATCGTTAGTGATGTTCTCACCATCACAGGCTCTCTGCTGAAGATCATCATCCAGTTACAGGTGACAAACATCCCAACACAACTTACAGAACAATATCACAATAAAGAAACATGTTTTGGGGTCAGTAAGGTTCTGTTTTAAAGAAATTAATACTTTTATTAAGCAAGGATGCATTAAAATGAGCAAAAATGACAGTACAGATGTTTATAAAGCTCTAAAAGATTTCAATTTCAAATAAATGCTAATCTTTTGAACTTACTATTCATCAAAGAATCCTTGAAAATAAAATGTAATGTATCATGGATTTCAAACCCTGATAATGTTTGTTGAGCATCAGATTGAGTGATTTCATATTAGAGTGATTTGTCAAGGGTCATGTGACACTGAAGACTGGAGTAATGATGATAAATTCAGCTTTGATCACAGGAATAAATTACACTTTACTGTATATTCACATAGAAAACAGCAGTTTTACATTTAAACAGTATTTCACAATATTGCTGTATTTCTGATCAAATAATTGCAGCAATGGTATTAATAGCTCTTAATATTTTGCCTAGCGTTGTTAAATCAGTGAAATGACTCTAAGCTCTTTCTGTTGGTGTGTTCTCAGGCCATGGCGAGTTATGATCTGTGCAGTATCTTGCTGGGCACCGGCACCATGTTCGCGTGGATCGGGGCCTTACGCTACATGGGGTACTTAAAAAAATACAACGTACGACCTGCTCATTCTCACTTCTCACTACAGTTTTCAGGAGACCGAAGAGAAATAATTGGTTTCGCCATTTCTGACTCTGGATCTTAAAACCAGTCGCACAGGTGCCGACTACAATATGGGTCAAAATTATCAATGACAAAAATCATCAGGATATTAAGTAAAGATCATGTTCCATGAAGATATTTCATAAATTTCCTACCGTAAATGTATAAATCATGTATTTTTGTGAGTGAATGCAGCACAATTGCCAACATAAATGGACAAATGTAAAGGCGATTTTTTTGCACCCTCAGATTCCAGAAAAAAACAAATATTGACCCAATATTGTCCTATCCTAACAAACTGTACATCAATGGAAAGATTATTTATTCAGCTTTCAGATGATGTATATATCTTAAAATCAAAAAATGTACCCATGTGACTGGTTTTGTGGTCCAAGGTAACATTTCTGCTTGGTGTGTGTTCACATCATATTTTAATTACGGAGTAGTAAAAACACTTAAGTTGTAATGTTATAAAGACTTAATCTTGTGATGTGTTATAAAACAACTGCCTCGAACTGCTGAACACGCTGATGTTTCGGTTGAATCTATACAAATTACCCATTTCAATTTTATTTAAATAGTAGGTTTTTTTTTGGTAAGAGCAATTAGTGGTGAATATTTACATTTAAAAGCTCTTTACAGTACGGTTTCATTTGTTCACATTAGTTGACTACATTAGTTAACATAACGACAATGAACAATAATTATTTAGTGTTAATTATTAATCTTAATATTAATATTAATTTATGCACTGTGAACTAAAATGAACTTTTTATTAACTAACATTAACAAAGGTTCATAAATGCTCTTGAAATACATTTAATCCATAAAGTAGTTTTAACAAATGAGACCTTATCAAAAACACATGAACATTTCTATTAACTAATATTAACAATGCTCTGGAAATACATTATTTAATGCATAAAGCAATTTTAACAAATGAGACCTTACTGTAAAGCTTCTAATATTATCAATAATTTTATTAAAATAAGTGATTTTTTTTTCTTTTTCGATTTTTATGAATTTTTCAGTGTTTGCGCCGTCTCTTGACTGTGATGTGTAACTGCTTGTATTTGATTGGTCAGATTCTCATCATCACTCTACGAGCGGCGTTTCCCAACGTCATCCGCTTCAGCTGCTGTGCCGCCATGATTTTCCTGGGCTACTGTTTCTGTGGGTGGATCGTGCTGGGACCGTACCACACCAAGGCAGGTCGCTGGCATCACACTGCTCACACTGCTGTTTAAAGAGGGCGTGGTGGGGGGCGCCACCCACCCCGATCACAGAGCCAATATCTCAGCTCTGGAAGGGTCTAGAGCCTCCATTTTTGTACTCAGGTTTAAGTCTCATTGCCCTCTATCAGAATCCAGAGTTTTGAGAAGATTGGAGAAACTTCATTTTTCGCCTGAAAAAAAAAAAAAAACACTGTCGTTTTTTTTTTTCGGGTCGAAATTTTGAGTTTCGATATCTCAGCTCTGGAAGGGTCTAGAGCCTCCATTTTTGCACTCAGGTCTAAGTCTCATGGCCCTCTATCAGAATCCAGAGTTTCGAGAAGATTGGAGAAACTCAAAATTTCGACCCGAAAAAAAACGACAGTGGTGCAAAAAAATAAGTTTCTCGAATCTTCTTGAAACTCTGGATTCTGATAGAGGGCCATGAGACTTAGACCTGAGTGCAAAAATGGAGGCTCTAGACCCTTCCAGAGCTGAGATATTGAGATCCCACGTAGCATTTATGCCATTATAAAAATAGTGGGTTATTGGACACATAGTGGGTTTGTGGACAGTGGAATTATGGGATGGCGCTTGGTGCTATGGACTCAGGGGCCCCAGCTGAGTGCAGATAAATGTTTTTTATCATGACAGGAACTTTAATTAAAATGTCCAAAAAATACACTACCCAAATCCCCATTCAATAGACTGCAGGCGGGATTCTGTCCATTTGCTGCTTATTGCATGAAGGCTGTCCACACAATGGACTTCAGCGGTAACCAAATTGTTGAAGTCCAAATCAGTGCAGTTTCAAAGGGATGTTGAAACAATGTTCATTTTGAGGTGAACTAATCCTTTAAGGACTACAACAAACAGCTGGTAAGAACTACACAAGCTTGCAAGCCTTGCAACGAAGGGCTCTATATGGCTCTGCTAAGAACAGCAGCTCATTTGCATTTAAAGGGACACACACAACTGTGTTTTTGCTCTCTCTCTTGCAAAAAAGGACAATTTTAATCAGAGACTTCTTGTTAAAAAAAATGGGCATCATAAAATCTATATATTTTTTTGCCCAGCCCTCACTGATGTGTGTGTTTGTGTTGTGCCTCAGTTCCGGACGCTGAACGTGGTTTTCGAGAGCCTGTTTTCGCTCATCAACGGCGACGACATGTTTGCCACCTTTAACAACATGCAGCAGAAGAGTTACGTGGTGTGGCTCTTCAGCCGGCTCTATCTCTACACGTTTGTGTCTCTGTTCATCTACATGGTGCTCAGCCTGTTCATCACGCTCATCACCGACACCTACGACACCATGAAGGTGAGAGACGCTGACCCAAACGCAACATTCAATTCAGCTTTACAGAAAGTGCATGAGTCCACATTACATGTTACCAGAGGAGAAGTTAAAAAAGCACAATTAACAAAAAATGTAATAATTTAATGCAGAAAAAATGAGCTCACTGAAGTAATGCATTCTCCTTTGTTAACACATGATTATGACATTTAGAGAAATGGTGCGTGTTGATTCAGAGTTTATAGTTTATCGATATATTCTAGTGTAGCCTTAATGATAAAAGAATAGTAGAGTGTAAAGTAAGATAAGTTTACTGACCTGCTGGAACTTGAAGTGATTTTGGTTTGATTTGGTTGTGAGTGCAGTGCGCTTACAGAGACTCCGCCCACTCTCTCCTCTGATTGGCTGTGAGTTTGGATTGATTCAGTTTCGAGTACAGTACAGAGACTCTGCCCACTCTCTCCTCTGATTGGCTGTTTGTTTGTTTTTTGCTTTTTTTTTAATCGCTGGAATCTTATATCACATCACATGCTTTATGCAAATGAGCTCAGTTGTGATTGGCTAACCTCTTGATGTGAGAACTAAGTTTAAATGCTTTTCTCACTATACGTGTAAGAGTCTCAACTGTATGTGCGACTGATTTAGTGATTTGTGTTTAGCATCAGCGTTTGGACGGAGAGCCCGTGTCAGATCTGCAGGCGTTCATCATGCAGTGTAAAGATCCTCCAGAATCGGGACGCTTCAGTGTGAACGAGAGCAGGTTCCTGACGGGCTGCTGCTCACACAGGTGAACACACACATCGACCATCCATGTGGGAAAACAGTTTGGAAATGATGATTGACAGTTGTTTGTCATGAATTATTATATTTGCAAACATCGTTAACCCTCATCCTTCCCTCGCGAGTCTAAAGGACCCGAAGCCGTAATATTACCCTTATGACTAGATTTGATCAATTAACTGGGCATTTAAGCACATTTCTCACATTTTCAACTTAAATTCAAAATAACTCACAATTTAATGACCCGTGAGGGAAGGATTTGTTAAAGCTCTTCTGACTGCTGAGGTGTGTGTGTGTGTGTGTGTGTGTGACAGAGTCAGTAAAGCTGATATTGGTGTGTTTGTGACGCAGGACGTGCCGCTCTGATGACGACACAGACTGACCGGGACTTCACAGCGATTGTGATGAGTTTGGATATAAAGAGGATTTATCTGTATTATTAAGTGTGTGTAAATATATAAAACTTGTTTTTGTTTTGAGCACATTAATGTTTAGTACATTTCAGATCCTCTCCACTTTATGAAAGATTGTAAATTAGTGTAATTATTATTTATTGTGAATATGTAGTTCAGTCGCACTGGGGGACATGCTGAGTTTGGGTCAACAGACATTTTTATATTCCTGTAATTCCCATGTTTCGTAATAATGTTTGTGTTTATAATGAAATGTTTCACCTTTTTATTTTTGAAAGCTTCAGATAAAATAAATATTTTGATACCATGTTTCAGATCCAGTCATGTTTGTAAAATACTTTTGAGAATTGTATTATTAAATATTTTTTTGACTAACATGAGTGACATCAACAGAGATTAATATTTATTAGCAGGATTGATATGATGAAACTGATAACCAAAAAAGTCAATATTACTGTAAGGTTGGTTTCACGTATTGAATGTAGGAAGAATAAAGAGGTCAAGATGACATGAATTTTATAATATTTTATTTTAATATTCCATCACGTTCACTTGTTACTAAAGTTTTTGCACAAAAAACTTTAATTTTAGAGACTGAACTCCAGTGGGCGGAGCTGAGCTGAGATATTGAGATATTTATAATGGCATAAATGCTACGTGGGATGTCCATATCTCAGCTCTGGAAAGGTCTAGAGCCTCCATTGTTGCACTCAGGTCTAAGTCTCATGGCCCTCTATCAGAATCCAGAGTTTCAAGAAGATTGGAGAAACTTAATTTTTCGCCCGAAAACGAAAAAAACGAAAGGGGTAACACTGTCGTTTTTTTTTCGGGTCGAAATTTTGAATTTTGATATCTCAGCTCTGGAAGGGTCTAGATCATCCATTTTTGCACTCAGGTCAAAGTCTCGTGGCCTTCTTTCAGAATCCAGAGTTTTGAGAAGATTGGAGAAACTTAATTTTTTACCCAAAAATGAAAAAAAAAAAACGAAAGGGATAACACTGTCGTTTTTTTTTCGGGTCGAAATTTTGAATTTTGATATCTCAGCTCTGGAAGGGTCTAGATCATCCATTTTTGCACTCAGGTCAAAGTCTCGTGGTCTTCTTTCAGAATCCAGAGTTTTGAGAAGATTGGAGAAACTTAATTTTTCGCCCGAAAACGAAAAAAACGAAAGGGGTAACACTGTCGTTTTTTTTTCGGGTCGAAATTTTGAATTTTGATATCTCAGCTCTGGAAGGGTCTAGATCATCCATTTTTGCACTCAGGTCAAAGTTTTGTGGCCCTCTATCATAATCCAGAGTTTTGAGAAGATTGGAGAGACTTAATTTTTCGCCCAAAAATGAAAAAAAACGAAAGGGGTAACACTGTCGTTTTTTTTTCGGGTCGAAATTTTGAATTTTGATATCTCAGCTCTGGAAGGGTCTAGATCATCCATTTTTGCACTCAGGTCAAAGTCTCGCGGCCTTCTATCAGAATCCAGAGTTTTGAGAAGATTGGAGAAACTTAATTTTTCGCCCAAAAATGAAAAAAAAAACGAAAGGGGTAACACTGTCGTTTTTTTTTCGGGTCGAAATTTTGAATTTTGATATCTCAGCTCTGGAAGGGTCTAGAGCCTCCATTTTTGCACTCAGGTCAAAGTCTCGTGGCCCTTATCAGAATCCAGAGTTTTGAGAAGATTGGAGAAACTTAATTTTTCGCCCGAAAACGAAAAAAAACGAAAGGGGTAACACTGTCGTTTTTTTTTCGGGTCGAAATTTTGAATTTTGATATCTCAGCTCTGGAAGGGTCTAGATCATCCATTTTTGCACTCAGGTCAAAGTTTTGTGGCCCTCTATCATAATCCAGAGTTTTGAGAAGATTGGAGAAACTTAATTTTTCGCCCAAAAATGAAAAAAAACGAAAGGGGTAACACTGTCGTTTTTTTTTCGGGTCGAAATTTTGAATTTTGATATCTCAGCTCTGGAAGGGTCTAGAGCCTCCATTTTTGCACTCAGGTCAAAGTCTCGCGGCCCTCTATCATAATCCAGAGTTTTGAGAAGATTGGAGAAACTTAATTTTTCGCCCAAAAATGAAAAAAAACGAAAGGGGTAACACTGTCGTTTTTTTTTTCGGGTCGAAATTTTGAATTTTGATATCTCAGCTCTGGAAGGGTCTAGATCATCCATTTTTGCACTCAGGTCAAAGTTTCGTGGCCCTCTATCATAATCCAGAGTTTTGAGAAGATTGGAGAAACTTAATTTTTCGCCCGAAAATGAAAAAAAACGAAAGGGGTAACACTGTCGTTTTTTTTTCGGGTCGAAATTTTGAATTTTGATATCTCAGCTCTGGAAGGGTCTAGAGCCTCCATTTTTGCACTCAGGTCAAAGTCTCATGGCCCTCTATCATAATCCAGAGTTTTGAGAAGATTGGAGAAACTTAATTTTTCGCCCAAAAATGAAAAAAACGAAAGGGGTAACACTGTCGTTTTTTTTTTCGGGTCGAAATTTTGAATTTTGATATCTCAGCTCTGGAAGGGTCTAGATCATCCATTTTTGCACTCAGGTCAAAGTCTCGTGGCCCTCTATCATAATCCAGAGTTTTGAGAAGATTGGAGAAACTTAATTTTTCGCCCAAAAATGAAAAAAAACGAAAGGGGTAACACTGTCGTTTTTTTTTCGGGTCGAAATTTTGAATTTTGATATCTCAGCTCTGGAAGGGTCTAGAGCCTCCATTTTTGCACTCAGGTCAAAGTCTCGCGGCCTTCTATCAGAATCCAGAGTTTTGAGAAGATTGGAGAAACTTAATTTTTCGCCCAAAAATGAAAAAAAACGAAAAGGGGTAACACTGTCGTTTTTTTTTTCGGGTCGAAATTTTGAATTTTGATATCTCAGCTCTGGAAGGGTCTAGATCATCCATTTTTGCACTCAGGTCTAAGTCTCACAGCCCTCTATCATAATCCAGAGTTTTGAGAAGATTGGAGAAACTTAATTTTTCGCCCAAAAATGAAAAAAAAACGAAAGGGGTAACACTGTCGTTTTTTTTTCGGGTCGAAATTTTGAATTTTGATATCTCAGCTCTGGAAGGGTCTAGATCCTCCATTTTTGCACTCAGGTCTAAGTCTCACAGCCCTCTATCATAATCCAGAGTTTTGAGAAGATTGGAGAAACTTAATTTTTCGCCCAAAAATGAAAAAAAACGAAAGGGGTAACACTGTCGTTTTTTTTTCGGGTCGAAATTTTGAATTTTGATATCTCAGCTCTGGAAGGGTCTAGAGCCTCCATTTTTGCACTCAGGTCAAAGTCTCACAGCCCTCTATCATAATCCAGAGTTTTGAGAAGATTGGAGAAACTTAATTTTTCGCCCAAAAATGAAAAAAAACGAAAGGGGTAACACTGTCGTTTTTTTTTCGGGTCGAAATTTTGAATTTCGATATCTCAGCTCTGGAAGGGTCTAGAGCCTCCATTTTTGCACTCAGGTCAAAGTCTCGTGGCCCTCTATCAGAATCCAGAGTTTTGAGAAGATTGGAGAAACTTAATTTTTCGCCCAAAAATGAAAAAAAACGAAAGGGGTAACACTGTCGTTTTTTTTTCGGGTCGAAATTTTGAATTTCGATATCTCAGCTCTGGAAGGGTCTAGAGCCTCCATTTTTGCACTCAGGTCAAAGTCTCGTGGCCTTCTATCATAATCCAGAGTTTTGAGAAGATTGGAGAAACTTAATTTTTCGCCCGAAAATGAAAAAAAACGTAAGGGGTAACACTGTCTTTTTTTTCGGGTCGAAATTTTGAATTTTGATATCTCAGCTCTGGAAGGGTCTAGAGCCTCCATTTTTGCACTCAGGTCAAAGTCTCATGGCCCTCTATCATAATCCAGAGTTTTGAGAAGATTGGAGAAACTTAATTTTTCGCCCAAAAATGAAAAAAAACAAAAGGGGTAACACTGTCGTTTTTTTTTTCGGGTCGAAATTTTGAATTTTGATATCTCAGCTCTGGAAGGGTCTAGATCCTCCATTTTTGCACTCAGGTCAAAGTCTCACAGCCCTCTATCATAATCCAGAGTTTTGAGAAGATTGGAGAAACTTAATTTTTCGCCCAAAAATGAAAAAAAAACGAAAGGGGTAACACTGTCGTTTTTTTTTCGGGTCGAAATTTTGAATTTTGATATCTCAGCTCTGGAAGGGTCTAGAGCCTCCATTTTTGCACTCAGGTCAAAGTCTCACAGCCCTCTATCATAATCCAGAGTTTTGAGAAGATTGGAGAAACTTAATTTTTCGCCCAAAAATGAAAAAAAACGAAAGGGGTAACACTGTCGTTTTTTTTTCGGGTCGAAATTTTGAATTTCGATATCTCAGCTCTGGAAGGGTCTAGAGCCTCCATTTTTGCACTCAGGTCAAAGTCTCGTGGCCCTCTATCATAATCCAGAGTTTTGAGAAGATTGGAGAAACTTAATTTTTCGCCCAAAAATGAAAAAAAACGAAAGGGGTAACACTGTCGTTTTTTTTTCGGGTCGAAATTTTGAATTTTGATATCTCAGCTCTGGAAGGGTCTAGAGCCTCCATTTTTGCACTCAGGTCAAAGTCTCGTGGCCCTCTATCATAATCCAGAGTTTTGAGAAGATTGGAGAAACTTAATTTTTCGCCCAAAAATGAAAAAAAACGAAAGGGGTAACACTGTCGTTTTTTTTTTCGGGTCGAAATTTTGAATTTTGATATCTCAGCTCTGGAAGGGTCTAGAGCCTCCATTTTTGCACTCAGGTCAAAGTCTCACGGCCCTCTATCAGAATCCAGAGTTTTGAGAAGATTGGAGAAACTTAATTTTTCGCCCAAAAATGAAAAAAACGAAAGGGGTAACACTGTCGTTTTTTTTTCGGGTCGAAATTTTGAATTTCGATATCTCAGCTCTGGAAGGGTCTAGAGCCTCCATTTTTGCACTCAGGTCAAAGTCTCACAGCCCTCTATCATAATCCAGAGTTTTGAGAAGATTGGAGAAACTTAATTTTTTGCCCAAAAATGAAAAAAAACGAAAGGGGTAACACTGTCGTTTTTTTTTCGGGTCGAAATTTTGAATTTTGATATCTCAGCTCTGGAAGGGTCTAGAGCCTCCATTTTTGCACTCAGGTCAAAGTCTCATGGCCCTCTATCATAATCCAGAGTTTTGAGAAGATTGGAGAAACTTAATTTTTTGCCCAAAAATGAAAAAAAAACGAAAGGGGTAACACTGTCGTTTTTTTTTCGGGTCGAAATTTTGAATTTTGATATCTCAGCTCTGGAAGGGTCTAGAGCCTCCATTTTTGCACTCAGGTCAAAGTCTCGCGGCCCTCTATCAGAATCCAGAGTTTTGAGAAGATTGGAGAAACTTAATTTTTTGCCCAAAAATGAAAAAAAACGAAAGGGGTAACACTGTCGTTTTTTTTTCGGGTCGAAATTTTGAATTTTGATATCTCAGCTCTGGAAGGGTCTAGAGCCTCCATTTTTGCACTCAGGTCAAAGTCTCGTGGCCCTCTATCATAATCCAGAGTTTTGAGAAGATTGGAGA